CTTGGTCCATACTGTCAAGACCTCAGGCCAATATTCTCCCAGTACGGCCCTCGTGCTTGGTTAATAAGATATGTATATGTATGTATGTATGTATGTGTGTATGTATGTATGTATGTAGGGAGTTAAAAGGTTTAGGGATTTGCTGTACTTTGTATTGATAAACCTCTTTTCTTGTTTGAAGCTGTCATCTGGATTACTGGAATTCAGAAGATCCTATTCCAAGAGATGAACTTCTGAAACGAGTAGCAGGTCTGGATGGACTTTACTGCCTCCTTACAGAAAAAATAGATTCTGAGTTGCTGGATGCTGCCGGTGGGTTGTCTAATACAAGAGATTTAAATAGAACTTACAGTGTGAAAGATGTTTAAGTATGAATAGATCAGATTAGTTAGAAGTGCATTTTTGTATGAAGATGCACAGATTCTGTTGATAGTTTTTGTGGATTTCAGAAATTACTTTTGACCTTAAAAAAAAGTCTGCTCAGGTCAGTGTCAATAACAGTGCACCCACCCCTCTCCTAACCAAACAACAGTGCACCCACCCCTCCCCTAAGCAAACAACAGTGCACCCACCCCTCCCCTAAGCAAACAACAGTGCACCCACCCCTCCCCTAACCAAGCAACAGTCAACTGATGACAAATAAAGGTTAATCTGGGGTTGGGAGGAGGGGGTAGGTGAGCAGTTGCCCAGATGCGGACAAAGCTCCATGAGTTCTTACAGAAAAAATCTCACATTACCTTGTGCCCAGTGAGAAACTCATAACTCATATTTAAGTGGTACCATAAGAAAATGTTCTTCTTCCTCGTCAGTTCATTCTGCCAGACAGAAAATTCCCCTGGGGTGGGATGGGTGGGCAGATAGAGGACCACCCTAATTAACTTAGTGTTACTGGTGATATCCTCTGTAAATATTGTTTATTATTAATATTGTTTATTCTTATTCTTCTTATTATTATTATTATTAAAACTAGCTAAAAAGGTTCAATTGTCTTTTTTATCCAATGTAGGACCTCAGCTGAAAGTTGTGAGCACCATGTCAGTTGGTTATGATCACATCAGTTTACCAGAAACAACAAAGAGGTGAAGATTCTGGTTTGGGGGGAGTAGGCTCAACACTGTGATTGTTCTGTGTATTGGACAACCAGAATTGATTTTCACAAGAGACAAGGTTTTCTATGAGGACCTATTCGGTGATCTAAACTGAATCATTTAAATTGCCATGGTGATAATTAAGAAAAAATACATTTGTTACTAAATCTGTTTGGAAAGTCACCAGTTTGATGACCTGCATTCAGCAATCATATGGCAAGCTGTTAATAAGTTCTTTTTCAGTTTTGTAGTATCTATAGTCTAAAGTTAGGATGTGATGAACCTTTGTAAAATTTAACAAAAACATTTTCATTTATAGCAGCCATGTTATGTTTTGAGGTCACTATAACTATTTATTTTGACTAAAGTAGAGCATGGAATCCTGCTATCAGCAGTAAAGTGCTCTTAGTCTGTGAGTGCAATTTCAACTGCGTGTCAAAAGTTATGCAGGAATCCTATAATTTTGCTCTACTTCAAATGTGTTTGGTCCATAGACAGTGTAGTAGTCCTCACATCCTCTGAACTAATTGGATCAGACTTTTAACGAAGACATATTAATAGCAATTCACATTTTCTCCCACTTCAAGCAGTTGGCTTTATCATTGGCTCCTGGTAACATTTCCCTCGTTCTCCTTGGACCTTGTGATTACTTTGGTTTTTATTTTGCATCACTGTATTTAATAAATGCTTTGACTTTTGCCAAGAGTTCCAGATAAAAGAAAACCTTTCCAAACTTATTCTTAAAATTTTATCGTCAGAGGTATTGCTGTTGGCCACACCCCAGGTGTACTGACAGATGCGACCGTAAGTATCTGATTAATGGTTAAACCAGATGAAACATAATTTCTCATCTAGGACCATTTCAGTATAATTACAGAGGACAATTTTTAGGCCGGGCTAGAGCTGAAGCTCATAGTTATATTCATCTACTAGTTGAATGTGTACTTCTAGCAAAAGCTGGTTTTCAATATTTGTACATTTTAATTACTGCTTCAATTTTCATAGCCAAGAAATAAAAAAAAAAAGCACGAGGTGCAATAACTTTTAGTTAGGGGTTCAGTATGCTCTTGCGAGACTAAGATTTCTGGTCTGTCCAACTCTCGTAACAAAACATTAGTGACATCTTTCTTCACTATTTTCATACCTTTGATTCCTTTGTGAACTAGGCCACCTTGACAGTAGCTTTACTTCTGGTAACCCAAAGAAGACTAATTGAGGCTGCAGGAGAGGTGAAAAAGTAAGTTCCTGTTCAAGTAGTTTTTCCAGGCTTGAGCCCTCTAATTTGATTTAGTTGCAATTATATTTAGTATGTTTAGCACCATAAAAGATTTTTATAAGTACTCCACACATAAGTATCTTCCTAGATTAGTCCTTGTTTGATAGATGTTTACATTTAAGTGAGAAAACCAGGCCTATTTCATCTTAATTTTATTTGCCTTTTTAACAATACAAAAAAGGAAATATTTGCAGCATTATAATTTATAGAAGGTGAGGAGACCCAGGAAGCCACTGGGCTTATGGAAGAGGCCTCCTCACTCACAACAAAATTTTTAAAAAAGAATAAGGCATCATGTGAAGAAATTGTTACAAGAAGTCAAGGCTATCTGATTGGGGTTGATTGAAAGAAACAGTTCTTGTCACAGTTTTCATTACCCTGTAACCTAAGTTACAGTATATGATCAGAAAAAAGTCTAAACCCTTTCAATCACCAGTTTTGCTTCACAGTTGTTGCACAAGCTTGGATTTCAACATACCACTTCCCTTCACAATTACATTCATGTTTAAAGGGCTGAATATTTTACAGTGACTTTTTTTTGTCTCTTTATGAGCCAAGCACATGAATCCTAGCTATGCATTTGGTTTGAAGTACCTTTTAACTCTGCTAAGAAATAGCAATCAAAGTAATTCAATTGTGACTTTTTAAAGTGGAGGATGGGGAACGTGGAAACCTCTATGGATGTGTGGACCAACACTAACAGCCAGTACTGTGGGCATTGTTGGATTTGGAAGAATTGGTTAGTAGCAGAAATGACAAATTCCCTTTTATGACACTTTTATTGCTATTTGAGCAACAATGCCGGGTTCTAACCATGTAACTCATGGAACTGCATACTTGAGTAACATGAAACTATCCATAAAATGGCAATACACTTGTCAGCTTGACTATTTTTTCCTGGTATGAAACCAAATTCTCCCAACTAATTCACAAGAAATTATATGAAGGGAAGATTACCACGTGACTTGTATGAAGCATTTCTCTGCAGGTAAGAGATATGATCTGAGTGTATACAGGTCTATAAAGTGACATTCAAGGGGAGCTCTAGGGGTTCTGGACTCCTGTCGGCAGATGGCAGGTAATTTACCATCTATTTGAAACCAAAATCAATCAACCACAGGATTGCATAGCACATAGCGATGCATGTACTCAACTTTGAGTCTCTAAAATGTACTCATCTTGAAATACTTCATAGCTTATTTATGCTCTAGTGTAGAAAAATTCTGTGCTTTCTGAATCATAGTTTGAACCTCCTTCTCCTACCTAAAAGCTCTGTATCCACCTGTGATATGAACAGTGTTTGGTAGGAACTTCACTAATCAGATCTCTGAAATATAATGTCATGTAAAACATAAGCCAAACTACTGTAAGGGGCCGACCATTTATCTTTTGAGGGAGGGGGGGTGGGTGATTTCTGGTCATCAAGAAATTTTTTTTCTAGCAATCTGTTGGGCAGGATATTTTTTTTCTGTTCTAAATGCTCTTTTTTTTCTGTTTCATTTGGGCTGCATGCAATTTTTTTCTTCCAACAAGTGCTTGC